CTAAAACTGGTACTGGGTTCCACAGGAGAGGAGCGTGATAACTAAAAGATCTGCCTCCCATTCTACTTTTAGAAGTTCTAGGAACCACTAGTAATATAGTAAAATAAATTATCTCTTAAGTTCAAATGTGAGGAGTGGTTGAAAACGTATTGACATTTGTAAAGATTAATTTAGGTTTAAATAATTATTTGATGAGAAAGTGTAGATGTCATTAAATAGCTCAGAAAACAATCGTGTTTTCTAAAAAGAGGGAAAAAAAAGAAATAGGATGAGTTTTTTCTATTGTTAATAATTACGGTAGGTGAGTTTCAGTGTAAATTAGTATGATCAGAGTGTATTTCTATTTGGAACGTCTGTTTTGACTCATACGAATATTTACCTTCAGAGCCCCTCTGCATGCAGCCTTTATAAAGGCAGGAAATGTCGCGGCGCTAATTAAAAGTACACCTGTGGCTTCCTGCCCTCAGTGGGATAGCCTCTCTGTCTCCGTACTCCATTTTACCAGGACAAAGCCCAGTTTGTCTGAGTGCCAGTCGACAAAGGGTTTAATTTGCACCTACATGTTAGAAATTGGCTGGGAGAGGTGGATGGGGCGTGCAGCGGGACTGTGCTTAATGCACATTATAGTTCAGATGTTTGATAATGAGGTGCTGCATTTAAAAAATGTGACATGTAGACTTTATCTGCCCGTTCGAGGGAATTAATCCCAAGCTTTGAATATCATGGACTCAGAAACATGCTGAACAATATTCAGTTTCAATTTAGTTTTATTTTAGCAATCTGTCATGAGTTTGTATTCTACGCTCTGAAAAAAAAAAATTAGATGTTGAATTTAATTAACCATGTTATCTCAGCTGGTTCAACTAACCTTAACTGAAACTTAAAAATAGTAATTAAAGATAAATAAATTAAGTTCACTAAAACCCAGCATTATAAACTTAAGATTGTATAAGTTAATGCTGTTTGCGGCAGTTTAGTTCAGTTTAATTCCTTTTATTTAGTTACATTAACCTTATGTTGCAGTTAACTAATCTAGTTTAGTGAAACCAGTTGACATAACTGGCTTAGAAGCATCTAACACCCTTCCATCTTTCTTACTGTGCTTTAGAGGATACAAAAACATTCCTGGGAAATAAAGTAAAGTCCACTTTCATTAACTCCTTCATGCAGTGGATTGAGCCGAATAAGTTGAATCAGTGAGGAAAGTTAAAGTCGTAGGGAAGTCATATTTAAATGTCATGTATATAATGCATATAAATGACATAATACATGTTTATAAATGTGCTCTTCATTAGACGATATTGTCCCAAAAGTAAGACATTTCTATTTAAAAAAAAATCCTGTCTTAAAATCTGTGTTTTGTTTCATTATTTTCTGCAGGCCAGTTATTTATACTTCAGCCTGAACACCTAAATTCTGCCAATCATATATCAATGGTCATCTGCCAATCAAATTTATTAGGTCATACCATCTTGATTCATATGTAGCAGCTAACGGTTGAAATAAGAAATAGGAATCTTTTACTTTCCCATTGAGTTATGTCCCAGTTTTCATTGGGATGGACATCTGTAGCCTCGTGAAACCATCCTGATCTCGCGAGCTTTCAAGGTTTCACTCGCTAATCAGTCTGGAGACTCTCCGTT